GTGTTCCATCGTGTGACAAAGCCCAGCAACCGCTCGCCATGTATCCCCGGTGTTCCATCGTGTGACAAACCCCAGCAACCGCTCGCCATGTATCCCCGGTGTTCCATCGTGTGACAAACCCCAGCATCCGCTCGCCATGTATCCCCGGTGTTCCATCGTGTGACAAACCCCAGCATCCGCTCCCATGTATCCCGGTGTTCCATCGTGTGACAAACCCCAGCAACCGCTCGCCATGTATCCCCGGTGTTCCATCGTGTGACAAACCCCAGCATCCGCTCACCATGTATCCCCGGTGTTCCATCGTGTGACAAACCCCAGCAACCGCTCACCATGTATCCCCGGTGTTCCATCGTGTGACAAACCCCAGCATCCGCTCGCCATGTATCCCCGGTGTTCCATCGTGTGACAAACCCCAGCATCCGCTCACCATGTATCCCCGGTGTTCCATCGTGTGACAAACCCCAGCATCCGCTCGCCATGTATCCCCGGTGTTCCATCGTGTGACAAACCCCAGCATCCGCTCGCCATGTATCCCCGGTGTTCCATCGTGTGACAAACCCCAGCATCCGCTCGCCATGTATCCCCGGTGTTCCATCGTGTGAAAAACCCCAGCAACCGCTCACCATGTATCCCCGGTGTTCCATCGTGTGACAAACCCCAGCAACCGCTCGCCATGTATCCCCGGTGTTCCATCGTGTGACAAACCCCAGCATCCGCTCGCCATGTATCCCCGGTGTTCCATCGTGTGACAAACCCCAGCATCCGCTCGCCAACTTTTGCTTCTTAATTTGTGAACTTCGACTTCTCGTCTTTCCTGTAGGAAATCCTAACAAATCTGAATCGTCATGGTCGACAGGAATATAATTGAATCTTTTTTCATAAAAAATAGTTTTGAAAATAATATGAATATTTCCTTTGGTTTATATAAATTAGATTCATTTACAAATTAATAAAATTTGGGAAGAATTTAATAATACATTGGACAAATAATAAATCTTGATTCTTTGGTAGAGTACTTGGGTTGGGCAAATATTTTGTTAGTGGGATGTCGGGAAGGTCCTGCCTAGTTGGGCCAGCGGGCCTGCTGCAGTGTTCCTCTTTTCTTATGAGTCGGGTGTCGTCACGCGTCAGGTGTTGCTTTGTTTTGGGATGTGATGATGAGGGTAGTCTTGACCATTTATATGCCTTCCTTTGATGTAATGCTTTTATAGTTCCTTGATAATGTGAGAAGTCACGAAAGCGCTTGGAATTTCACTATTCTTTCACAGTGGTTGTTTTGTATATATATATATATATATATATATATATATATATATATATATATATATATATATATATATATATATATATATATATATATATATATATATTATATATTATTTATTTTTATTATTATCACACTGGCCGATTCCCACCAAGGCAGGGTGGCCCGAAAAAGAAAAACTTTCACCATCATTCACTCCATCACTGTCTTGCCAGAAGGGGTGTTTTAACTACAGTTTTTAACTGCAACATTAACACCCCCCTTCAAGTGCAGGCACTGTACTTCCCATCTCCAGACTCAAGTCCGCATTCCGGTTTCCCTGAACCCCTCGCACACAAAACCTCCTTTACTCCCTCCCTCCAACCTTTCCTAGGCGGACCCCTACCCCACCTTCCTTCCACTACAGACTGATACACTCTTGAAGTCATTCTGTTTCGTTCCATTCTCTCTACATGTCCGAACCACCTCAACAACCCTTCCTCAGCCCTCTGGACAACAGTTATGGTAATCCCGCACCTCCTCCTAACTTCCAAACTACGAATTCTCTGCATTATATTTACACCACACATTGCCCTCAGACATGACATCTCCACTGCCTCCAGCCTTCTCCTCGCTGCAACATTCATCACCCATGCTTCACACCCATATAAGAGCGTTGGTAAAACTATACTCTCATACATTCCCCTCTTTGCCTCCAAGGACAAAGTTCTTTGTCTCCACAGACTCCTAAGTGCACCACTCACCCTTTTCCCCTCATCAATTCTATTATTCACCTCATCTTTCATAGACCCATCCGCTGACACGTCCACTCCCAAATATCTGAATACATTCACCTCTTCCATACTCTCTCCCTCCAATCTGATATCCAATCTTTCATCACCTAATCTTTTTGTTTTCCTCATAACCTTACTCTTTCCTGTATTCACTTTTAATTTTCTTCTATTGCACACCCTACCAAATTCATCCACCAATCTCTGCAACTTCTCTTCAGAATCTCCCACGAGCACAGTGTCATCAGCAAAGAGCAACTGTGACAACTCCCACTTTATGTGTGATTCTTTATCTTTTAACTCCACACCTCTTGCCAAGATCCTCGCATTTACTTCTCTTACAACCCCATCTATAAATATATTAAACAACCACGGTGACATCACACATCCTTGTCTAAGGCCTACTTTTACTGGGAAATACTTTCCCTCTCTCCTACATACTCTAACTTGAGCCTCACTATCCTCGTAAAAACTCTTCACTGATTTCAGTAACCTACCTCCTACACCATACACCTGCAACATCTGCCACATTGCCCCCCTATCCACCCTGTCATACGCCTTTTCCAAATCCATAAATGCCACAATATATATATATATATATATATATATATATATATATATATATATATATATATATATATATATATATATATATATATATATATATATAAAATAACAACAATGATAATATAATAAATACACTGTGTGTGAGCTCTTCAGCTATGGAAAGCAGTGAAAGCTCGATCCACCGTCCAGGCTCGGGTTGACGGAAGGACTGGCGGATAACCTCGTCAGGTCCTCCACAAATTAAATTTCCGCCTTCAGAGTGACAAGTATCTTCGTTTTCTCGCCTCTAAAACTTCCAGGTAGCGAAGTTTCTTTATTTTTTAAACTTGGAGGGAGCATTGTTTCGTTTTTAAAACTTCCTGAACACGAAGTTCTCATTTTTAGAACTTCTTGGCCACGATATTCCTCTCTTTTAAACTTTCTTGTGCACGAAGTTTCCGTTTTAGAACTTTCTTGAGCAGGAAGTTCCCGTTTTTAAAACTTCTTGATGAGGGACTCTTAGTTCCTTGATACTGGTAAAGAGTCTCTTGATCGAAGAAATTAAGAGCTACTCCTGATTTTTTCAAGGAGTAAAATCTGTTTACTTCCCATTTAACTCCTGTTTACTTCCCGTTTAACTCCTGTTTACTTCCCGTTTGCCTCCCGTTTATCTTCAGTTTACCTCCTGTTTGCTCTCTGTGCTGTGCCACCGCTGATCTGTGTTCAAGAAGGCTCTGCATCCGTCTTTTTAGCTCATAAAATAAACAGATTTCTTTTTCTCCCCGTCTAGACGTTAATTGGGCAAAATGCTGCATCTGCCTTGAGTTTGAAGAAGAAATTATCAACTTTGGGATTAAGTGAGGCCGTAGACGGTGGATGAAGTTCACATTCGACTCCTCACATGTTAGTTCTCTCTCTCTCTCTCTCTCTCTCTCTCTCTCTCTCTCTCTCTCTCTCTCTCTCTCTCTCTCTCTCTCTCTCTCTCTCTCTCTCTCGCTCTCTCTCTTTTCCTACGTACCTAATTTTTTTTGAGAAGTTTTTAACCTTTGGGAGAAGACAGATGTCCGGAAATTACTCTTGTTTCTCCGAGAGCACGACGGAAAACACCAGCGTGTTGTCGTCCCTCTGACACAGTCACCAGTCAATCTACACGACAGGAAACAACAGCGTGTTGTCGTCCCTCTGACACAATCACCAGTCAATCTACACGACAGGAAACACCAGCGTGTTGTCGTCTCTCTGACACAGTCACCAGTCCCTCTACATGACAGGAAACACCAGCGTGTTGCCCCGGTCACTCTTTCCAAAAAACATTTGTCACACAGTCACCAGTCCCTCTACACGGAAACACCAGCGTGTTATCGTCTCTCTGACAAAGTCACAAGTCACGCAACCACACACTGGAAACTGTCAAGAAGATTGTTTCTGATAATGGAATACTGGAGCCTCAAGATATGTTCTCTGTGTGGCACAGATGAAATAGATTTTGCCAAAGACGCGGCTAGTTTATGGTGTACTGCGTATCTATTCCATGGACGGTTGTGGCTAGTTTATTGTACGCCTCACATCCATCCCTACTACTACTATTACTACTGCTGCTGCTACTACTACCACTACTATAAGAAATACTTCTACTACTACAACTGCGTGGATTCTCTCTTGGTACCATAGCCAGACCCTGGAACTAATACTCCTTTCCTGTGAGTGGAAACAGCGTTGTTCTTGCAAACTTGGGAACACCTATCCCAGCATAGCCTCGTTACCTCTTAGTTCCTGGCGTAGTTTACCCAGATAGTATTGCCGAGGCTCCTGCGTCGTAAGAGATAGAGATATTATTCGATGTTCAGAGACTGAGGTTTCTCCTTTTCCGTGGCAGGTAGAATGGGAGAAACTGGGCCGTGCAAGAGATGGGAGATAAGCGGGAAGAAGCATGAAACAGCAAGGAGCGAGATACTGTAGCCATTTTTATATATATATATATATATATATATATATATAATATATATATATATATTGTGTGTGTGTGTGGGGTGTGTGTGTGTGTGTGTGTGTGTGTGTGTGTGTGTGTGTGTGTTGTGTGTGTGTGTGTGTGTGTGTGTGTGTGTGTGTGTGTGTGTGTGTTGTGTGGTGAGAGAGAGAGAAAAGAGAGAGATTGTACTTGATAGTCATCAGTTTACATTTGGAGTTTAGTGGGGAAGGTAAACTCTCCTCTCGATGGGTATGGATAGTTTAGGAGACAGGTGAGATAGTTATTCACCTGGAACATGAGTAATGATGGAACAAGACCGAGTGGGAAAGAAGGGAGAGAGAGAGACACACATTCACCGGTAGACATGAATACCGAGGAAGGGAAAGATGGAGAAAGAGAGGGATGGAGGGGGAGAAAGAGAGCTGGAGGAACATAGGGAGGGAAGACTCACCTGTATATAGGCGTGGTGCGATGATCTCGGAACCAGAGTAACAGCAGGATGGAATCTTCAGGAGGGTGAGAGACATCACAGGGCAGTGCCGCTGACCCGCCCCACACGCCCGTCACTGCCACCACAGGTACTGTCCAGGAAGACACTCCCGTTACTCATTTAGAGGGGATTCGATGGCATGTAATGGGATTCACTCCCATTTAATGGGATCCGATCTTATTTAATGGGATGAGATCCCATTTAACGGGATCTGATTCCATTTACATGTAGTGGATTCCGATTTCATTTAATGGCAGTCGATCCCATTTAATGGGATTCGATCTCGTTTAATAGGATTCAATCCCATTTACCAGGATCCGATCTTAGTTAATAGCATTCGTTACCATTTAGCAGGATCTGATCCCATTTAGCGGGATTCGATCTCATTTAATGGGATCCGATCCTATTTAATAAAAATCGATTCCATTTAATGAGATTTGATCCCATTCAATGCATTCGATCCCATTTAATGGAATTCGATCCCATTTAATGGAATTCTATCCCATATAATGGAATTCGATCCCATTTAATGGAATCCGATTCCTTTTAGTGGGATCCGACATCGTGGCAAGCTGTTTCTAAGACCAGCTCTGTTAGAAATTCATCAAGTTATGACAGTCTTATAACAGTTACAACAAAGTTGTTGGAGTCCGTCACGTCGCTGTCACCGTGTGTTATTGTCTTGTTACAGGTTGCCACAGCCTCGTTGAAACTTACTCCAGCCCCAACTTGAAGTTGCAAAAGCAACAACTTTCAACTCATCGACGAACGCGGTGACCACTTGAGCTGTTGAAGCAATCATCTTCCACCCAGTTTGTTGAGCCTAGCGACTGTCGTGAGTCTCAAGTCCATTTTATAATAAAAATAATAATAATAATAATAATAGTAAGAGTTAAATATAATAATAATAATAATAATAGTAATAATAATAATTATAATAATAATAACAATAATTAAAATAATAATAATAATAATAATAATAATAATAATAATAGCAACACCACCACCACCACCACCACCATAATAAAAATAATAAAATAATAATAAAATAATAATAAATAATAATAATAATAATTAATAATATAATAAATATCTTATTTACTACAAGTACAAGATATAACTTATACAGACCATAGCTGACATTAATGACATAATAATAATAATAATAATAATAATAGCACAACACCACCACCACCACCATAATAAAAATAATAATAATAATAATAATAATAATAATAATAATAATAATAATAATAATAATAATAATAATAATAATAATAATAATAATATCTTTATTTACTACAAGTACAAGATATAACTTATACAGACCATAGCTGACATCAATGACATACCACTATATAGAAAGTCGCTTGTTATGCTGAGCATTTCGGGCAAATTAGGTCAGTTTTGTCCCAGGATGCGACCTACGTCAGTCGACTAACACCCAGGTACCTATTTTACTGATGGGTGAACAGGGACAGTAGGTGTCTTAATGAACAGGGACAGTAGGTGTCTTAATGAACAGGGACAGTAGGTGTCTTAATGAACAGGGACAGTAGGTGTCTTAATGAACAGGGACAGTAGGTGTCTTAATGAACAGGGACAGTAGGTGTCTTAACAATGAACGGGACAAAAAAAGGGTTAGAAAACAAAAGAACAAAGACAATGAAGAAAGATAATAAAAAATATAAAAAAAAAGATAATGAAGAAAGATAATGACAAAAATAATAAAAAATAAAAAAGATAATGGAAAGTATAAAGGGACAAAAATAACAAAGATAATGAAAATAAAACAAAGATAATGACAAGTAATATATAAGGACAAAGATAATAACAAAGAAAAATGAACAAAGATAATGAACAAAGATAATAACAAAGATAATAACAAAGATAATGAACAAAGATAATGAACAAAGATAATGAACAAAGATAATAACAAAGAAATGAACAAAGTAAAAAGATAATGAACAAAGATAATGAACAAAGATAATGAACAAAGATAATAACAAAGATAATGAACAAAGATAATGAACAAAGATAATGAACAAAGATAATGAACAAAGATAATGAACAAAGATAATAACAAAGATAATAACAAAGATAATAACAAAGATAATGAACAAATATAATGAACAAAGATAATGAACAAAGATAATGAACAAAGATAATAACAAAGATAATGAACAAAGAAAATAACAAAGATAATGAACAAAGATAATGAACAAAGATAATGAACAAAGATAATGAACAAAGATAATAACAAAGATAATGAACAAAGATAATAAACAAAGATAATGAACAAAGATAATGAACATAGATAATAACAAAGATAATGAACAAAGATAATGAACAAAGATAATGAACAAAGATAATAAACAAAGATAATGAACAAAGATAATGAAAAAAATGAACAAGATAATGAACAAAGATAATGAACAAAGATAATAACAAAGATAATGAACAAAGATAATAACAAAGATAATGAACAAAGATAATGAACAAAGATAATAACAAAGATAATGAACAAAGATAATAAAAAGATAATGAACAAAGATAATGAAGAAAGATAATGAAGAAAGATAATGAAGAAAGATAATGAACAAAGATAATGAACAAAGATAATGAACAAAGATAATGAACAAAGATAATGAACAAAGATAATAACAAAGATAATGAACAAAGGTAATGAACAAAGATAATGAACAAAGATAATGAACAAAGATAATGAACAAAGATAATGAACAAAGATAATAACAAAGATAATGAACAAAGATAATAACAAAGATAATGAACAAAGATAATAACAAAGATAATGAACAAAGATAATGAACAAAGATAATAACAAAGAAAATGAACAAAGGTAATGAATATAAAAGATAATGAACAAAGATAATGAACAAAGATAATGAACAAAGATAATGAACAAAGATAATGAAATGAAAAGATATGAACAAAGATAATAACAAAGATAATGAACAAAGATAATGAACAAAGATAATGAACAAAGATAATAACAAAGATAATGAACAAAGATAATGAACAAAGATAATGGACAAAGATAATGAACAAAGATAATGAACAAAGATAATAAACAAAGATAATGACAAAGATAAATGAACAAAGATAATGAACAAAGATAATGAACAAAGATAATGAACAAAGATAACGAACAAAGATAATGAACAAAGATAATGAACAAAGATAATGAACAGGTGAGTCACAACAATGATCAGTCTGTCATCGTCTTGACGCAAATCATATTAATTTCTGCGACGTAAATCACGACGATGCGCAGTTGTTTATCTCTTTTGGGGAGGTAGGGAGGGGGAGGGAGAGGAAAGGGGTGAAAGAGGGGGTAGGGGGGGAGTTTGGAGAGGGAGGGGGGTGATGAGGAGAGAGGGGAGAGGGGTAACTATCGGAAAATTTTGATTAATGTGTCTAATATTGTCAGCCGGGAGAGGAGGAGGAGGAGGGGGAGGGGGAAGGGGGGAAGGGGATGGAGGGGAGAGGGAGGGGAGAGGGGGAGGAGGATATATGGGAGACTGGGGGGGAGGGGAACGATATTTTTATCAGCAAGAAAGCGCGTCCCCCAGTGACGCGATCGCACGCGCGTGCGCACAAACACACACAACACACACACACCCCACACACACACTACACACACACACATACACATACAAACAAACAAACAAACAAACAAAACAACAGAAACAACGAGGGGGGTGAGGCACAAAAACATTTTTTTAACCTCGGCAAACAAGGTAAAACATATCTCTTTCTCCTCTGTAACAGTTCTCCTCTATTCTCCTGTTCTCCTCTGTTCTCCTGTTCTCCTATGTTCACGTGTACAACTTTTCAGTAATCGCTAACAACCTGCCTCGCAATTTTCTGAGAAGTTTTTAGTGGGATTTCTCAAAGGAGAGAGAAGGATGGAAGGAAGAAGAGAAGAGAAGGAAAAACAGAATGAGAGAGAGACAGAGAGAGACAGAGAGAGAGAGAGAGATAAGAGCTCTATCAACCTAGGGATATCGATGGCAGGCAACATTTGCACCTGAGAAAATACAAATGATGATGGTCTCCAGGCACCATGACGGTAATGCTGGAACAGTAGTAAGTATGAATTGGAGAGTGTTGGTACCAGGGTCCGGGGTTGATATCCTTGGGGTGAAATTTGATTTCAAAGTGGTCATGAAGAACCACGTTGTAAATCTTGCAAACAAGGCGACCAGGAAGCTTATACACTTCAACGTATTTCGCATCTGCTCGACAGTACCCTCACATCTTGAGTATGCTCCACTTTCTTGGATTGCCTGCCTCCCATCACTTCTGTGACTTCTTGATAGAGTAGAGAACAAAGCAAGACGACTCATCTCTCGCCCGGACCCAGCGTAGATAGCTCTGTCATTTCAGCAGAGCCTTCAACACCGGAGGGATGTGGTGGCCTTACTGTTATGTACAAGGTCAAAATTGTCAAAGTACCACACTTGGCTCCACTCCGAGAACAGCGAGAAGTGAGCTTCTACACCACAAGACGGGCAGTCAGCAGCAACTACACTCTGTACCGTTCTCCAGGATATCACTTCTTCTGAGATCATTTATTCCTTGGATGACCCGATTTTGGAACATGTTCGTACAGCATAATGATATCAGCAAAATAAAGTCAGCTGATCCATTGAAATTGCTGGCCCACAGATGGCCCAACCTCATCCTGTTCCCTATATGTATGTCTCATAACAATAAAAAGGAGCTTTTAGCTTGTAAATAAAGTTAGGACTCCTTACCCTAACCTTGTTAAACCCTGGGGCAGTGAAGCAAGTGCCAGTAGTGGCAGTGAAGCAAGTGCCAGTAGTGGCAGTGAAGCAAGTGCCAGTAGTGGCAGTGAAGCAAGTGCCAGTAGTGGCAGTGAAGCAAGTGCCAGTAGTGGCAGTGAAGCAAGTGCCAGTAGTGGCAGTGAAGCAAGTGCCAGTAGTGGCAGTGAAGCAAGTGTCCGTAGTGGCAGTGAAGCAAGTGCCCGTAGTGGCAGTGAAGCAAGCGCCAGTAGTGGCAGTGAAGCAAGTGCCAGTAGTGGCAGTGAAGCAAGTGCCAGTAGTG